ACCAAGATAGCAAAATTTGTCTACTTCCTTTACTACTTCTCCAGGGTGAGACTGGGTGCCGGATCAACCCAATCTTGTAGTAGCATTTTACACTTTGAAGGTGCAAAACGCATACCGAACATGGCTACACTAGCACTCAAACTATCCAGAAAAGCTTGCAACTTAACTGGATCTTCACTTGGTAGCACAATGTTGTCTGCATACTCTAGATCAGACAGTCTGCCACCCGGAAGTAAATCGATACCGCTATCCCTGCACGAGGATAGGGCAAAGCGATCACGTCAACGTGTTTGAACGATGTGGCACTGGAGGAAATCAGCACATGTGTTGTTACCAAATGGGAGGGGGTTGTGCGACGATGTATAGGTATAGCGAAGTCAGAGATAGTGTACGCAGTGGAACAGAATGTAGTGGTACAAATGATTTGACATGGGAAGCATCTCGTTGAGAAAGCTTCGGGCAATAGACGTTCTGATCATAGACTGCGTGTGAGACAAAAGCATACGCATAAAAAGAAAAAAAAATTCAAACAAAACTCACCTTAGTCGGGCAGGTACCGCAATCGGGACAATGCACGTTCGTTTTCAACGAATATCTTTGACAATCTGAGCAAAATCTGGAGAGAGAGAGAGAGAGAGAGAGAGAAACGAACAAATTTGAACAATAATTTGAGCGATCGAAATCCACAAAATTAATACCAAAGATACAGCCAATGACATTACTTTATTCCCGAGCAGTCGTTTAACTGTGGTTTAAAAAAAATCCCTCAAAGCTGCCAGACTGTGAGGAAATCCCGCGGAAAGTTAAAGTTTTACTTTATAGGGACACCTTTAGTGATATGAGAAGGAAGAGTTCCGCATGAATATTTCTATCATATTCCCGCAAAGGACACTTCAAGTTGTTTAGAGGTTAAGAATAGTACAAGCCAGGTGGTGGCTCAGTGATTTAGTCGTTATCACTGGAGTGCTTTGGCCCCAGATTGGAGCCATGCCACCACCATCCAACTTTGGTGGCAGACAGGTTTGCTGTCGTTCGGTTCAATACCACGCCTAACCTAGCGGGGCCTTAAGTGATTCGCCAATCCAATTCCTGGGGCTTGGGTTACCTGTTTCTAACAATGAACAGTAGGGCTCCGTGACCATGGGGTTTAGGCCGTCTGCTGTGTAATAAAAACAAGCATCGTTATGTTACAAGAAAATTGACCACTTGTGAACTTACCGGAATTTCGACGTCACTGTCTGAGGTGGTCGAACGAGTGCCGGAGCTAAATCAGTGAACAAGCGAACGATCGAGTCTCGGCGCCGACTTTTGACTGGACCGTTATCCCCCACAGCATTGGTTAAATCCAGATCGAAACGTCGATGATTTTCGTACGTAATCTGTGAACAACCATCTCATTTCTGAGCAATTGGGGGTGTAAAAACCTTGTAGTCCAGTCGAGAGAACTTGTCATTAATACGACAAAGCTTTTTATCAAAAAAATAAGGCAAAATGAAGAATATCGGAGGACGATATAATTCGTTGGTCGAGACATCTCTCACGCCCTGCGACAGAAGAATAAAAAGTTATTTGACAATTTTTACGAACCAACCCAGTGAACCACGTGTTTAAGATAACGGCGGATAAGGAGGAGCATCTGTTCGTAGACGAGGATCAAGGGGGCTTTGAATGGCGGATCACAAATTATGGCAAATCGAGCTGTGTTGGGGATGGTTCGCATGATATCTTTGAATTTTCGGCGACGTTTCGCTGAGAAAAAGTGCCCGTTAACCATGTTAAAACGAGCAAACATTTTGGCACGGTAGAAGTGACCCTAGCCGTAATTGGCATGGGGTAATTCACAATAGCAAAGTGCTTACCAGTCGAGCATCCAAATCGAGTAGAAAAGAACTCATGTCCAGCCCGTTTAAGGAACGCTGAAGTTGAATAAACTCATGCAAACGAGGCGTGCCGATACACAGCACATAGTTCACACCAATCTGATGCAAAATGGCATACAAATTGTTCAGGGTATCCAACGAGAACAGATATTGCTATCAGAGAAAGAAAGAGAAATAAAGACGGGATAAAGATGAGTAATCGGAAAAACGTACCGCGTGTGCATCCGCGTCCGAACGGGGGGAAAGCAAAAACGAGGGCATTTTCAACAGCTGATCGGAAATACCCGTCATCAAACGATGCTTTCTGTGCGTGTCTAGTTCCTCCGTGGAACAAATGAACAGACGATCGCATGTGCTGCAATAGCATCGTTGTTCCGGAGTGATTTTTCGTAACATTTTGACCGGCCAATTGGGTACCGAAGACAACTGGCACAAATCGGATTCACACGCTGACTTTCGATTAAACGCAGAACACACGTAGCGCGCTACAGCCGATCCCGACTTGACGACACGTAACATTGGACCATGAGAACACGATGGGCTATCACCCGGTGTTAGGCTGAAAGTGATCGACTTCTGTCGTTTCTGTGAATTGGAACAGGAACGAAGCATGCCAATCTGGGGAACTGAAATAGAGCGGAAAGGTAACCATATACCTCAGATGTCGGATTTGGAAGCTTGAACAAGATGTCAAGTCACCGCGTTTTTACCAGTTGGGTAGCATCCCGTTTACCAAAACCATAGTAGATTGAAACACTACGACGAGCAGCGGTAATGGAAACAGTGTCTTAGTGGCATTGCAAAAAACGTCCCTCTCGCCCATTCTACTCTCACTGTAATCATTCGATTACCTTGTGGAACCGGGATGTTTGAATTTCGGAACTCGTTCCACTAGTTCGCCGTAGAGTTTCACAACGAAAAATCTGGTACCATTGTAGTCATTTTTGTTCTCTATTATCGAGATCAGCTTCCGTTACGACAGCATTTGTGACCGGGTTGGTGTGGTTGCAGGCAGCGGTAACAGGTACCCGAGAACAACAAAATAGTTCACGAAGTCTGGGTCTGTGAATCACGTATTCAACAAGTGACAGCAGACAGCCATTCGAATTAACCTTAAACAACCCTTAACCGAGCACCTTTGTGTGGCGGTTTTGGTTGCTGTCTGCTGACGACCTACTGGAATGGGATGTAAAGACGAATGGAACGTGGAAGGTAGTTTCAACATGAAAACAGAGAATCCACGAAGACTAAGATGAAAGATAGCCACTGTTCACGATACAGCCATATCACTGTTTCCATCACGAGCGGACTGCACCTTGACGAACTACTCAGGGTGGCTTTTTTAAGCCAAAAGATATCATACCTGAAAGTTTAGAAAATATAGGAAACTAAGTTTGGTCCGCTGGTCCTCCGGGTTGAGGATTTAACTCGCACTGTAGGTCTCTGTGGTCCACTGCATTCCAGGTAGGCTGAAGTCCCCAGCAATTACCAATTTCTGTTGGAACAGTGGTAGTGCATCCAGAGCTCT